AGATGTTTATATTAATTTTTGAAACGGCCTATTTCAAAAAATTCAAAGTGTGTGTGACTTGCAAGTAATTCAGATGTACTATTTGAAAGCCAACATGAAATGAAGAATAGAATGGTAATATAATAAATAAATAATCTGATTGGTAGCTGTCAGCACATGAATTTATAAGGTGAGTGATCATGCTTTTGTCCAGACAGTATACAGTCACTGTTGTGTGTTAAGTTACAATTTGAATATTTCTTCTTAATTTTCTACTAGTTATTTTTATATATTTTGGACACAAATTGTTAACTTTGTATTAACCTGTAGGGCCTGTCAGAGCTTTCAGTTTTAGAATATTCACTGCCTGGTTTGGCAGTTCGGTCTTAACTAAAATGATGTTGAAATATCTTTCTATGACTTCTTGTGAGTTAGTGATGTAATGGCTAAGAACAAATACTCAGCACGAGCATGACAATAGCCGAGCAGAAACATGATTACTGTAGCGTGACCAAGCTGACTTTATAGTTCCAAACCGGAACACTAGCGTGTGTGCGTGTGCATGTGCGTGTAAACACACCCATCCAGAATAGCCACCCCCATTTGTGTAATGACTGCTTTCTCTCATCATTATCTGAGAGGGTTCAAAGAAAAAAAAACATTTACACATATATATATATATATATATAGTACCTCTACATCAATTTTTTTCAGTTTATTTCAATTGTATTTGTATGGCTCATTTTCACAACATTACATTGTCTCTAAGAGCTCTAAGTTATTCCACCCAAAGCTCCCAGAGAGCAAGCCAGAGGCAACAATTGCAAGGAAAGACCTTCACTAAATGTTTTTTTTAATAAAATTTTATACTTTGCTAGATTCCTTTAAACATCTCATTGCATTTAATAGTGCATAAACATTTACTACTGCTTTATAGATAAACCCAATGCATTTTTCTATTTTCTAAGGTCCGTATTGGGTGTTCAAGCAATATTATATGCATTGAGTTATATCCTTCTGTAAAAACCTGGTTTATTTTGCTTAAGTTACTGACTTAAGCCAGATGGCCGTGAGCCATCTTTTGTACTTGAAAGTAGACAGGTGGTCACCAATGTCTGACTTTCCTCTGTGAGTGACCAAAAAATGCTTCCGCAATGAGGACATAAAGCTTCGTTATTGGTTTGAGAAACGGGAACACTGGCTAAGGCTGATTAACGGTGCATTTTCTCTTCGGCGTGGTTAACTTGTGAGATTCACAGTGTGGATTAACATCCTTGTCTCCTTTGATTTTTTTTTTCTTGGCAGGTGGAAACGCCTTAAGACTATGCTGACACCGCCTAGGAGTACAAATGACCAACTGTGTTTGACAGCTGTTATCGACAGCTGCACGAAGCAATGGACGGTATTGCTTTTCTTTTGTGCGATGGGTAGTGTGATTTGTGTCGGCTGATCTATGTGCATTTAAAAATAGCCTGGGTGTTAAAACTGGGACAAAGAGTTATATTACTGTTATTTCTCTGGACATGGTGTGACATAGCCTGATGTCAGGACTGTGTTGGTCCAACCAGGACGTTTTGGGGTCTAGTTCATGTGATCAGTGCTGTTGCTACTGTCAAGACTGCAGGCCCCACCATGACATGCATGTCGCCCTCTACTGAAAGAATATCGCTACTACAGCCCCCTAGATCTATGCTTGGAGTGAGACCTATATGTCTTTGAGTGAGATCATGAGAAAATTGTTTACAGAAGGAGACGATCAAGACTGTGTGTGAAAGGAAGTGGGTGTCAGATGGACAGGGTAAAAGATGTGAGTGCTGATAAGTTTCGTGTATACTGCTGAAACAGGGCTGCTGTGCAAAACTCACACCGACTTCACTGACATTGCTAGGAAATATTGGCATAGCTCAATAATCGCAATTGATTTGTGTTTGGTTTGTAGACAAATACACAAAGTGACAAGATTTATCTACAGTGAACACAGATTGTGCTCCTTGTGTCAGAAGTATAAGCTCTTTGATGCCACATTTCAAAGCAGGTCTCCTACTGTAGCTCGCATGGTTGTATCTAATTGAGTTAATAAGAACTCGAGGTAGTAGCTAAAACAGCTTTAAGTCTGTAGGACATATGGGCAGGTTTTCTCATTGTTACATTAGCGGCGTAGCTTATGGTAACTCACATTTCCTGCCTTTTACAGGCTAAATTGAACCTTTGAGCCTGCTTAAAAAAAAAGAAAAACAGAAAGATGTCAAGATAGATTAGTACAGTATGGGTTCAAGCCAGTGCAATACAAATCAATGAAATGAGCCAAAGCAATCAAGGACTGTAATTGTTTTGGGTGAATTAGGGCCTTCTGCACCTTGACCGCACTGTTGTGTTATATGCATGAAATGTTCTGAGAAATGCTGTTATAGTTGTGAGAACATTAAGTATGTTTCATGAAATGTGCCAAAACAATCGAGAAACTTCCAAGCAGGGGAACAAATATAGAAAATGTCATAAACAAACAAACATCCCAGTAAGGTTTACATCCTTGTAGAAATGCAGAATCGTCATTGCAGTTTTTCTCAACAGCCTTACCCCGGGAGGTGCTGTATTGTATTGAAGTGCAGTAATTATTTGTATTGAGGCATCTGAACGAACAAACAAAAAAACTTTTGCTCAAGGCACCAGTTATTATTGGTGGTGTGATGTTGCAAATGTGTTACTCTTTCCCTGCTAAAGGAAGCATTTTGCCAGAATGAATCTCATACTGTACAATATGACACTCAAAGTTCTTTAATAACTACCATTCTAAATAATAATCTGATTCAGATTTTGGTGCAGTTTTTGTGCTGCATTAGGTTTTTCCTTGATGCCTGTTACGGTACAAAAGCGCCACCTCATGGTCTGTTATCAAAATCAAAATTAAATTCAATCGCTCAGTTGCTTTGGTACGTTTCTCAGATCAGAATTGAAGTTCACAAAACATGTCCAACCTCCACATTGTCGAGTCACGTGTGCACATCAGTAAAGCAATGTCTTATTCTTTTGGACAAATTGCAAATGCTTTGGTACATTCATACAAATGATTATATAATTTCTGTGCTGTTTCCTACATTATCAACTGCATATGTCGTTGATTAAAGTGATATATGCTGTTTCTCTTCTGAATAGTCTCACCTCACAAGACATCTAGGTATTAGTTCATTATGTAAATCATTGCATGCAAAATGGATGATCCAGTTGTCATAACCTATCAAGCGTATTTTCTGTACTGTCCATTCATCCAGTGGCAGCGCCATTTGTTCAGCAGGCTTGAAGCTGAACCCGGCCAAGTGTAGTCCCCTCCAGTGGCGGGTCAAGTTCTTCATCACTGCAACTTATGCAATATTTTCTTCAATAATTCTGATAGTTTGGTGAATTGTTTTCCATGTGGTGACTTACACGATGATCACTTACATATACAGACGCTCCTCTACTTACAAACTTGCAACTTACGAACTTTCAGACAACGAAGAGGACTGTAAGTCCAAATTGTGTTTTTTTGGCCCCCGCTTCCTGTCCTCAACAGTATCCCAGGCTACGTCTGCGGCTTTCATCAGTTCTGGTAGAAAGACCAGCAGAATGATAAAATCCTTCATAATACTTTACTCCCAAACTTCCTGTCTGCTATAAAGTGGTTGAACAAATGTGGTATACAGTAAATAATTAACAAAAACAAAGACAAATAGGACTGGAATATGGGTGCATGGATTTACAAGAGACACAGTACATTTTTTAAACAGCATGATAATCTTATATGAGCAAAAAGATTTTTTTTTTATGAAAATTCTTTGATGGAAATGTACCACAGTTCTCTATATTAGATTTATATTATATGGCAGGATATGACTGATACTTTTTACTTAGAATAAGCTTTTTAGATTTCAGTGGCTACAGAAATGTAAGATAGAAGATCCATCCGCTTCCCCTATTTAAGGTCAGGGGGTTCTAAAGCTTCACACAGGGAATAACCCAGGGTGGGGTGCCAACCCATCACAGGACACGCACACACACACACACACACACCTATGGTTAACTCAAATTCATCATCCTGTGTCTTTGGATTGTGGGGGAGAAAGGAGAGTTCCTGGAGGAAACCCCGCGATGACACAGGGAGAGCAGGCAACCTACACACACACACACACACATGGAACCATGGCGGAGACTCGAAACTCGAAAAATTGACTCCATGCCCAGCAAGGCATGACAGGGCAAGAAGCAGAGCTGCTTTAGAGAGGGACATCTAGGATGTCCCAGAGAACACATACATAAAGGCAGAGGAGATGTCATGGAAAGGAGAATATTTACTTTTCCATAGCTAGTCATACAGATTGTCATTAAAGAAATGCACAGAATCGTTCGCTTATCTTTTTTAGCTGTTGCAAAATGCTCAAGGCAGCACGCACTGGAAATACGTTATACACTAACCTTCAATGTCAGTGCGGCGGAAAGCAGCCCTTTTCAGCCTTGTGGAAAACACACCTGTTCTTACTGGGCTTTTACTCACTCGCATATCAAGTCAGGATAAGATATGTTTTTGGCCTCTGAGAAACGGTTTTCTGTCTTTGTATCTACAGTGGGGAAAATAAGTATCGAAAGCGTCAACATTTTTCTCATTGAGTATATTTCTAATGGGGCTATCATCTAATGCACCCTGGTAAATGGCAGCAGATTCATATCAAGAATGTGTCAGTAAATTTCTCCATTCATACTTCTTTCATTTATATGAAGTCTGCCAGTACCATATGCTGAAAAACAGCCCCACGCAATAATAATAATAACAATAATAATGATCTACACTACTTATTTTAGAATGATATATTTGGGGGGTGGGGGTGGTGAATTTTCTGTATGTCCAAAAGCTTCACTAGTACTGTGTGAAAAAAATCACGTTATCACAAAAGCTGCAGGTGAATCTTACTAATCTTATGAAATATGCTAATTGAGCCAGCCGCGATGTGTATATATTGATAGCTTTACCGCTTTTGGACACTGACAACATGGCCTTCCTCTGGATCCTGTCCTGCCTTGCCTTTGCCGGGGCTGCCTACGGTAAGTCTTTAGTGTCATTCGGGGCTTTATTGTTCATTATTTATTGCCTTTCAGCTTCACAGTGAAATATACTGCAGGTCTTTCCTTGTTGGCCTCAATTAATTTGAACGTGTGATGGAAAAAGTGACACTAAATAATTGTAAAGAATACACACTTTTCAGATATGAAAATAGGTGGCAGGATTGAAGCAATTCTTCCTTCTCTGGTTGGAATTAGGCTGCGGCGTTCCAGCCATACGCCCCGTCATCACCGGATACTCTCGGATAGTGAACGGTGAAGAGGCTGTTCCCCATTCCTGGCCCTGGCAGGTGTCTTTGCAGGTAACATTTCATGACTGTGCGAGCTCCACAATACCTGTATATTTAGCTCTTGCTGCTAACTGCTAGCTTTGCTGTCCAGGCACTCCAGTCTCACTCATTTCTGATAAGCCATGTCGCTATATCGCATCGACTAGCACTTAAGTACTTCAAACGCATCACGGAATGTGCGGCTCTGTTGCAGGACTCCACTGGCTTCCACTTCTGCGGTGGCTCCCTCATCAGCGAGTATTGGGTCGTCACGGCTGCTCACTGTGGCATCAAGTGAGTCAATGAGACTGACACCATATATACTAAAGGCAGCCATATTCACATATGAATGATATGAAAATGTCAAGTGTATTAAAAATGCAGGCAGTTCCCGAGTCACAAATGAGTTCTGTTGCCTAAGTCTGTCGTAAGTCGAATTTGTAGGTAAGTCGGAAAAATAATATTACAGTACATAATAATCATTGTACAGTAATAATAAAATTAACTACATACAGTACTGTACTGTACCTTGAACCAATCAACTGCTTCAGTGCAGTGTTTTCAGAAGTGTGACAAAGTAGTGCATGCGTTCCTTATTATGAACCATTATATTTAACCTGAATTTTTAATATAATAGGCTTTATGGCAGTCCATTGCCTATAAGTCAGACATTTTCTCTATGAACTTACTGAGACATTGATAGCAACGTTTGCAGCGAACAGGTTATGAAGAGGCTGTTACACAGTATACAGGACTGGAAAGTGTCAGTGGGACTACCTGTATCCAAACAATTTCTATATGAGCATTTATACATATTTTTTACATTCTTCCAGAGCAGTTTTTCAGTAATTACTCTGTGCTATTTCTATGGTAGAGTGTCTCACCGTGTTATCCTGGGCGAACACAACCGCGCTTCTCCTAGTGAGAACATCCAGACCATGACTGTTGCAAAGGTATGGGTACCATAACCTAGGGCTCCTCGCTTTTTAACCGCTCTTACGTTCATATATTGATAACTTACATGATTTTCTGGTACCGCAGCGTTTTTCTCAAAAAAACGTCTCCTAATTTGCTCCAGGTTTTCAAGAACCCCAAATACAACCCGTTCACCATCAGCAATGACATCACACTGGTCAAGCTGGCCACTCCTGCTAAGATGACACCACAAGTGTCGCCTGTATGTGTGGCTGAATCCACTGACAACTTCCCTGGTGGCATGAAATGTGTCACCACCGGCTGGGGCCTGACCCGCTACAACGGTAAGTGCTGTACACAGGCTTAGAGGCTCCAGCTTGGACTCCATCGCCCAGGTCCACTGGGGGAATTTAGCATCTGGGTTCAGTGGTTTTAGCCACGGTTCTGCTCTTGAAGGAATGCATGAATGTTACATTTATATAGCACCTTTCAAGACACCCAGAGCGCTTTACAGAACCAATGGGAAGCCAGTTCAACCACCCCCCCTGTGTAGCCCCCACCTGGATGATGCGACGGCAGCCATTCTGCACCAGTACGCTCACCACACTGTAGCTAAGGTGGTGAAGGGGCCTGAGAAAATGCACCAATTAGATATAGGCGATAATTCGGAAGCCAGATCTGATAGGGCCATAGCGGGCAATTTTACCCAGGACATGGGGCTACCACACCTACTCTTTCGAGGTTCTGTGCCCCAGCCTGGTCCTTCTTTGGTTCCAGCTCCCGACACCCCTCCGCTCCTGCAGCAGGCTGCTCTACCCCTGCTGACCAACACTGACTGCCAGAGCTTCTGGGGAAACAAGATCACCAACATCATGATTTGTGCTGGAGCTTCTGGCGTCTCATCCTGCATGGTAAAGCTCTCAGGACCTCATGGAGGAGCAGTCACTTCTTGACATGTATCTAAGTGCACAAAACCGTGCATCCTCTACTTCTCTTCTCCCGCATTAACCATGTAAAGCAATGTTTCCCAACCCAGTCCTTGGGGACCCCCCAGACGGTCCATGTTTCTGCTCCCTCCCAGCTCCCTGCCAGACGGACCACATGAGCTGGGAGGGAGCAAAAACGTGGACTGTCTGGCAGTCCCAGTGGACCGGGTTGGGAAGCACTGGTAAAGCACATCTTTCTGATACTTGAAATAGTTTTTTGGGACTAGCAGTAGCTTGGTAATCAGTTTGAGTGTGTGTGTGTGTGTGTGTGTTTCAGGGCGACTCTGGTGGCCCCCTGGTCTGTCAGAAGGAGGGAGTCTGGACCCTAGTGGGCATTGTTTCCTGGGGCAGCAGCACTTGCTCGACCTCCGTCCCTGGAGTCTATGCTCGGGTCACAGAGCTCCGTGCTTGGATGGACGAGACCATTGCCGCCAACTAAAACCGCTCTCTTGTGTTTTATTGGTTTTGGTTTCCGTGGTGATGTCAATAAAATTATGTGCCTTTCAAAGCAGTCAGTCTTTCAGCGTCGTGGAGTTTTCAAAGATCAGCTTGATCGAATATCAGAAAGGATCGACGAGTGCCAAGCTGATGTTTTTTATTGCACATTTCTCCAGGGAACAACCAAACCAATGGCAAGAAGTGAATTGAAGCAGCCAGATACTGATCATTCCCACTCCCACTGAGCTCTCGTGAAATACATACAGTATCTGCTCCGATTTCCATCAGCAAGTCGCTCTTCCCCGTGTGGACTGAGGTTCATTCTGACACTGGCTTCTGAAGGATAATAAAGACAAATAGATATACAAAGACAGAGCTCTGGGGACATATTCTCACGTTAGGAATGTTTTTTCCCACAAGAATACATCATTGACACTTTCCAGTCCTATATACTGTGTAACAGGCTCTTTATAACCTGTTTGCTGCAACCGTTGCTATTAATGTCTCATTAAGTTTATTAAGTTCATAGAGAAAGCTTGTTCCGAAGCTACGCAAATTCAAATGTAGTTTGTTTTCTATAGACTTCTGCTGTTTCGTCTCGCGTAATCAGATCAGCTGATTGTTCATCTTCTACAGCCCAGGGAGGTTCAGTAGATCTTATAAAGGCCCAGTTGTTGCTTTGCTGACAGTGGCCAGGCTGGCATGTGACCTGGGCTTCTTTCTGATGCACAAAAAAAAATAACCAAAAAAAAAACCTTTGGTGTGTGTAAAAAAAAAAAAAAGAGAAATAATTCTGGCACACTTCTACAACCATGAAGTATAGATGAAGAACCATATTCTCCTCGACAGCTGAACCATTGTTTTAAGCACAGTGACCACCTGGATGTGTGTTTACAGAAAATGAGGAGAGGTTTTATACGGGCCAGTTTCCTTCTGTGATTCACAGAGAAGAACACTGAAAGTTTTGTGTTGTCCTAATGGTAACTATTAGTAAATCTTACTTTTAGCCACTTTTAATAATGACATTGTCGAATAAACAATAGAAGATACATTATTTACATAATGGCACACCTTGTTTATTCCATAAACTGAAAATCAGTGGTAAGCTCTAAAGTTCATGCACTCAGAGATCTGATATTTTGGTTCAATATTTTTTTTTTTCAATTTGACCAAAAAAGAATATATTTTTGTGTCATTTTCCATAAACGTTTAGATACTATTTATGTACTATAGCTAAATGACATAAACGTTTATGGAAAAATGCAGTATGTTTAAACTGTTTTGATGTTTTTATTTGTGTTGAATCTGTGCTAATACTAACCATTATGACTAAAATTATTAAGGCCAAAGATACTGACCCTCTCACAATATGTTGTTTTTAATATATGATGTATTTCATATTTCTCTGTTATTTTCGACAGTTGAGGCTAAAGCGACAGATACAGCATGTCATATTTACCTCGTTTTTTTTATTATTGGCCAGAGTAATGTTTTGTAACACTAGCAGCAGAAATCCACATACAGAGACAGTGTCAATGTGTGGCAGTATTTACAGGGGAGGATTCACGCTCAGACGCTGCTCGGCCGCTCCCTAGGTGGCGCTAGTGACGTCCATGCAGGCAGGCCTGGCTGATCCTGCGGCAGTAGCATATGGCGTTAAAGAAGCGGCAGTAGCATGTGTCACAGGGGTCACAACAGGGCAGCTGGTGGCCCAGGCAGGACTCCTGGTGGCGGAAACAGCGGCGGGGAGAGCGGATGGCGCGGTTCTGGAGGCTAATGGCCTCGGACACATCCTGCGAAGGAGAGGGAGCCACACGGCTCCGGTTAGTTAAGGCTAGATAGGTTTACTGATAATATCAGCCATCTATCAGGTGTTGTAAATGTAAAAATACCATAAAATTCTATTAAAGAAGGATATTATTATTGTATCGATGGTGAGACAAACTGGATGTTGCAGATTAATGGTCATTTATAAAATCGTTCATATAAAATATTTTTACAGACATTTCATACTTCCGTCAATGCTCAGAACGTTTTAAAACATGCTGTACCTCCTCTTCATCATAATCTCCAGCCTTGTCCACCATCAGCTCCTCATCTGTTACTGGGCCAAAATTTTCATATCTGGAAAATGACCCTTTACCTGAAACCCAGAAATGTCCCATGAACATATTCATAACGTCAACATATGAGTGTTTTAACCAGGAAAGTCGATATTGTTGGTCTTTATTTCAATTATCTTTTTGCTTATTACTGCTCACCCCTGTACCTGGGCATTCAATAGAAGCTCAGTCTAGCCGCACGTATGAATAGTCATCTCCTTAACAGCTGTACAGTATGTTTATAATGTGCAATTTGCCTCACTCGTACGTCCCTTTGTACGTGTCTGCCAGACAAAATATATACATACAGTAAGTAAATAAATGCTGTCAGATCAATTGGATCCCAGAAGAATACAAATGACATGAGAAACAGTCCCAGTTATGTCAGCTTGTAAAACATGCTAAAGGGCTTTCAGAATAAGGCTGCTCCTGAGACGCTTCACATGTCATTTCTTTAAAAAGAGAGATAAACAGCCCAATAATTTAAAACGGAATAACTGTGTCAGATTCTAAGAAATCTTAAAGTCCGAAGTCCGTGTCTCAAGGTTTTATTGCTGCTACAAGGGCTTCACAAAACTGGGAAAAAATATTTGAAAATTTAATCAATGAAATAATGATATTTATAAAACTATTATAAAAATTTTCAGCATGAAAATTTCCAAAAAGTTAACTTAGTCAAATTTGTTATCTACCAGTAGAGTTTTGTCCATGTATCAGTTCTGTCTCTGTCTAATTATTTCCATATGGTGGATGACGATTGTCTTGTTCACATTTTTTCTCCCCACTAATTTTTGTTGAATTTCTCACAAACGCACCATGCTGTCTAAGAGTGAGTCCAACAGCAAGGATGAAAATAACTATGATTGGCTCAGCAATCATGCCAAAGCAGAAGCGGTAAACTTTACTTTTAAGTTTCCTTCCTTATGACAGAGTAAAAACCTATTGATGATTTCAACCCAGCAGACTGTTGTGATTCTTGCGAAGTGGCAAATGCATTTGCATGACATGCAGTGTCGATATTAAACTGTAGGCCTTGCAACTACTCAAAAATACAATCAGCATTTCTAATATTGAGGTGTTGAGCAAAGAAACGAGATATGAAGGATCACTGACCCACATCGGACAGGAAGGCAGACTCTCTCACTGTCTTCAGCAGGTCAGGTTGATGTTCTTCTGCGGTGGCGCTGCTATGGACAGCACCAGCAGCCAGCTGGAAGGCATGAAACGCCCACCAGCAGAGCAGCACTGAGTTCCACATGGTGCCCTCGGTTTATAGTACAGCCAAACCAGCGCTGGGTGTCTATACAAGCGGTCCATGACAAAGCTGTTAGTGAAGCACTTTAATGCTATTCTCAATGGTGTATAACCGAACCCAAATCATCATAACCAAATAACTACAATCAAAGCTCTCTCACTCCATTTTAAAGAGATGTTCAGCTGGATTTAGTAATTAAAGAAAACGGCAAGATTCGAACTGGTGATAGTTCACTTTTTGAAATTCTTATTCATATCATTCTTTCACTGTAACAATAGGTAGGACAGATTTTTTTCTTTCACGAAGAGCTCATTGAAGTATTTTATTAAAACAAATACTTGCTTTACTGGCTCTAAATATGGAAAAACACTTAAAACCTTTATAAAAAATATAAATTTTACATACACATTGACCTAGTATATAAACTGTCACACCTTTCATTCATATGAAAAATGCTCAAAAAAATGCTCAAAAAAGCAAACAAAGTAATCGCACTGGAAACATGATCCCAGCCTACCTGCAGTCCTTATGAGTGCCGCCCAAGCCTTTCTGTGACCGAATGAAAGAGAGGAACTCATTTATAAGACCCGAGTGGAAGAGAAACGCGATGAACACATGATCTGCATTAGTGGGTGGGAGGTGTGGTTTTGGTGACGTCTGAGAGCTCAGGGTGTATTCAATGTAAACTACAACATCTTCACCTGAAGACCTGCAAATCATATTAGTCATTGTAAACACCAAATGTCCTTTCATTGATATAGGAAATATACAAATTAAAACAAAGATACAAAGTATATATAAGGTTCGGCAGCATGGCACCTCCTGCAGTAGGATTTGTGTTCCACACATCTAGGCTTGGGACTTTGAATCCCCCCCACTCTGTGTGCGCGGAGGTTTTCCCATGTGCATGAATTCCCTCTGGCTTACATTTAGGCCTACCTGATCTCTCTAAACTGATCTCTCTGAACTGATCTCTCTAAACTGATCTCTCTGAACTGATCTCTCTAAACTGCACATAGTGTATATGATGGACTGGTATCCCACCCAGGGTGTACCCAGCTCAGTGCCCTGTGATGGACTGGGAGAAGTGGTGGGTAGGAAGATGTTGCTCTGTCCCAATTGATGCATTCATTCATAACTGCTTCAGTGGGAAAGGTTTTATGAAAGTGCTGAAGGTGCTTCTCTTCTAATACTACAGAATGATTCATAAAAAATATGGAAAATATCCACATCCATAAACGATGTGTTTCACTTCAGTTCAGGCAGCCCTGATTCATGAGCAAATGTTCAATATATATATATATATGTGTGTGTGTGTGTATACATATAATCAAGCTTTTTCTGTGAAAATTCCCCTAGCATGAGCTTATAAAAACCAAAATCCATAAAGCTACTTAGCAGAAGTTTATTTCCTGATAGAAAGAGCATGACTGGCTTCACATAGTATGTACACTAAAATCGTTCATCATGTACAACCTTTATGACAACAATAATAAACAAGAATATCAAAGGGCAATAATAAATAATTTCTGGCAAATAGTAAAAGCTGATATACCAGGTAAAAGAAAAATAAATGAATTTTCTTTCATGAATCACCACAGCATAAAATGTTTAGAAAATTAGCCTGAAAGGAAGAGGTTCTCCCAAAGATTATCATTCTGATTGATTCTTGTATCTGTTCAATTTGTGGCCTTAATAGCCTGCAGCTGAAAGGTAACATTGATGCATTTATCTAATAAGCCACAGCGTCAGAGAGGTAGAGAGTAATGCATTTGTCTTAATCGTGCATGGGTACTGAGCCACAATTGTACAGTATTTCTGCTTTTGCTGTCCATTTTCCATTGTAAATAATACAAAATGCTTTTATCTTGTCTGTTTTATTACAGAGGAATTTTCCTGCAATTCAGTAAAACTTCATTAGTACAGCATTCAGTCTGTCCCTTCTATATTTATCGCCAGCATAACAGGTCATTTCTCTCATTTCTGAGCTCATGACCTGTAAGGATCATTAATGACCCTGATCATTAAGTGTTACCGCCCCCCACCCTGATCATTAAGTGTTACCGCCCCCCACCCTGATCATTAAGTGTTACC